CCCATTTAGCCAACTTGATCCTAATTTACCTTGAGTTTCCCACCACATGTTTGGCAGACTCTTATCACTTCAGTTTTCATCCGCAGGAAGAGAAAGTAGGGAAATAGGATGGCTGCTGCCGAGGCTCTTTAGATTTTATCTTTCGTGCTGCCATCAGCACTTTTTACCGCCCTACGGAGATACTACTTGAAGCATCGACATCCCGTAGCAACGGTGTTAGAAGGGTTAGTGGTAATCATACCTGGTGAATGGAGGATGGGGATGGCTAGCGATGCAGCGCAAATACCCAGAGCAAACCGACTGACTGAAAAAAGTTAATCTCATGCCTTTGCCTAAGTAGTATGTCTTGCCAACCGGAAAAAAAATATTATGTTGCCAGCTGCTTCGTTTTGGCAATTGAAGAACCCTGAGGCTGGCTGACTGGAACCAAGACCGGTAGAGTTAGTTGCCAAACCCTTTACCGTCAGGCAAGCAGAAAGCGACCTCGAGTATCGCCTGGACGAGTAAGGCATTCGCATTTTGGCCATTCACTCCTATCGTGCGTATCATCCCGGCCCCCCTCGGCCATTCTATCGAATGTATGAAGCCCAACCTTCAGTCCCTACCTTACCTTATAGGAACTAGGCTGACTCGAGTTTGTATCCATGACTTACTAACTGGATTCTCCAACATTTAAAAAATAGTTGTTGGGTAGATTGAAAAATGGCTGGTTCAAGACCACTTGATTTCTTCTACGTAAGAAATGTGGTCCTTTGGAGGCTTGAGAGGTCGGTCTCGTACGTCGAGAAAGGAGGTAGACACCAACTCGAAGATAATATTTTGTCCCTAATGGAAGCCAGTATGGATTTGGATCATTCAACCTATTGCTTTTAGTCCCTTGGTCCATCCAAGATTGTTTATCCCGTCTCAGCAATAGATGTAGACAGATCGGGAAAGAAAAATAGGCCCGAAAATCGTGTGGAGAACACGTTCACTTTTAGCTCAATTCAAGCTCCCGAGGACGACGCGACATCTACCAGCAGCCTCACATCTGGTTCCCACAAGTCACCGCTTCCATTCTTCTCCATATCCACTGTCTTTATAACACACTGTTTTCATCCACTTTACATCAGTTAAGGTCATCTTGCGTCTACACAACGATTATCGCAAGACATTCACTCTTCATGGAATCACGGTATGAACACCAGTTTGCATTTGACCTTGTTTTTCCCTCAGTCTGTAATCCAATCACACCTTATTCTCCCCGAGGCAGTGCTGAATTTTCAGCATTTGCTCCGCCTTCTGTTCACAGTTGCACTCTACAGCGATCCGGTTACCCGCTTGGGCTGAAAGCACTGACATCTCTGCTTCAGCCGGTTCATTTCACACCGTCTTGGTTATAATCGGTGTGAAAGGCAATTGGTATATCCCCACCTCGCCCAACCTCGAGCGGTGGCACAAGTGACTGGTCCAGACAGGACCAGGAGAACAGAAAATAAACCTTTCGGGGGCGGTGCAACATGTTCACGCTAGCCCACTTCATTTTCCTTCTGTTTGCTGGAGCGAATTTTAGTTAATCAGATCACGTAAAAGTTTGCTTTAAACCTCGAGTCAGCTTGGAGCAAGAGTTAGGCAAATTGAGGCTTGAAAGGTGCTCAAGTAAAGCTCTTGGCTAAGCTTTGTTGGGAAGACGTTTATTTCGTGTGGAAGGATGGGATGAAGTGATTCTTGAGTCGACTTCACCTAACGACGACGGTGGAATGTAGAAATTAACACCACTCTAGATAGACCATCCTTCGGTTTTGGTAAAAAGATGCTAAGCTTTCTACGAAGCGTATTCAGCCTACTTCATTTAAGGTGATAAGACGAGTAGTAGTTGAATTTTTCCTACAATGCTATGAGTAGGCCTTACCTTTCCATTCAATTGCACATAGTCTTGCTTAACGTGGTCGAATACTAGAGCAAATACAGTTTTGCTTCATCGTCGATTCCTTCCTTAAAATTCACATCTTTCCTGCCACCTAAGAGTACTCGTGGCAATGCGGCGTAGTGGTCAACATGCCGAAATACATGTTGCGCTGTCATGATTCGAGTCCCGAGAAGTGTGTTGATAAGACTTCGGCGAGGTCGAAACTGTAGTCCACCCTGGGTAAGAATACCTTATGGGAAAGCAGGGCTATGTGAAATTTACGGAAGCATCAACTCTACACATATGATAATAAGAAAATTCAACTACCAGTCCTTCATCCTCTTAAATGAAATAGGGTGAATAGACTTCATATATGAGTGGCCTATTGGTAGTTTCAAAAACCTACTTATAAAGGAAACATGGTAAGCTACCGTTTTGGTTCGACCTCGTTTTCCCAACTTGGTCGAAGCGTTAGGGGGACCTTGCGGACACCACGGAGATTCTCAAGAAAGGTCTGAATATTGCACTTCGCAATGAAAAGAAGGCACTGAAGGACATTTTAGTGGAGGTTATAAATACCTCTGAGAAGCTACTTGGAGAATAAAAACGAAATGGAACTCATCCCAACAATCTTGGCGCATCAATAACCAACGGATAGGAACGATATAACCATGATATATACAGAATTGAGAAGAAATAATCAAATATTCCTACAAGCTGAAAAAGACTTGCCACAGCTACGATGGACAGGAAAGAATATACAGAGAAAGTGGAAAATATTCTCGAGCACATTGAGACTTATCAACTTCCAGCAAAAGACCCAACAATTAAAATCAAAGATGCACTGCAAGAAATGTTGCAGGAAATGAATATGAACGAGGAAATCGACAAATGGACAATCAACTCATTCATACGAAAGGATTCAAGAGCCCCAGTAATACACAGTTTGCCCAAAGTACACAAAGAAGTAGAACCACTTAGACCTAAAGTCAACAACAAACATGGACAAACACATAAATTAGCAAAGTTTATCAGAATCAAATTAAAGAGAGTGAATGATATATTATCGAATTCAGTGAAGAATTTATACGAATTTTGCCAAATAATCAAAGACAATAATTTGAAGGGAAACAAATGATTGGTGAGCTTTGGTGTACACCAACATCACAGGAGAAAAAGCACTCACGTTACCACTTGAAATCTTAGAAAAAGAAGATGACATCCGGAAGATGAAGATAATCCGTAAATAGTATATAACCCTATTAATTAACCTAACAATAAAAACTACCTATTTCACGCTCAACCGCTGCATCCATGATCAAATATTTGGTCCTTCTGTGGAGTCACCACTCTCAACTCTGGTTAATGTCTGCATGAGCAAGTTGGAGGAGAATTTTAAAACGTCATCTCAGCAGCTAATGGTACTCATGCGATATTCGGATGACTACTTCGCAATAGGATAGTATGGATAGGAAAAATTAGACGATTTCCTGATCTTCATAAACAAAATGGATAAAATACGTCAAATTTACCATGAATGTGGAAGAGAACGGGCATTTACCTTTATTGGATGTGGAGGTCATTCGCTCCTAGAATACTCTCAAAAAATAATTTTTCCTAAAGAAATCGCATTCTGGAATAATTCTTGACCTGTAGTCTAACCATAATTATGGAATGAAGATTGTAATACTTCGGAGTATTGGAATATAAAGTATATACATACTGATTCCGAGTTCTGGGAAGAGGAACTGGAATAACTAACTCGGATATGTCTTGGAAACGGATATCCAGAAGAAGCTTAGCAACCAAACATACGGACGGTGGTGAATAGGTGGAAGGACGGTTATTATGAAAGGAGGACAAAAACCTTCAAAACCTAGTTTTTCTACATACCAGATTTTTTATTGTTGCAGGATTTAGTTGTTTCCTTTGCCGCCATAAAAAATCATATATCTCTTATGACATCCATGTTGCGCATATATTGAACAATCAGGAATTCTGTGTTGGTTTGTAACGGCTATGAGAATGAATTCCAACTTTGATGGTGTTTTCAAATGACATGATGGACGTAAGCCTAACAATTTTCCCCGGAGGATGTGCCTCAATCAACACGTACCAGTAAAGCTAAACGACTACAGACCAAGCGGATTCTGCCGTCGTATCCTGTTCTCTTCTCCACCCACCGCCTTCAATCGAGAAGAAGATGAGCTCAAAAAAGCATTATATTTTTGTCCCAGATCATCCTGGTGCTTGTCGTCTAGCATTTTCAACAAAATTGCGCGCATCTTATACAAACGAGGAAGCCAAGGTGACAGAGAATAGACCATTCAGACCTCCAGTCTTGGGATAGGAAGAAATCTCTTACTCATCCACTACCTCGGCGCCCTTTAGGTCTATCTATAGTTTCACGTGTTGACGCTCAAACGCCGTTTGAATGCAAGTTTAGACTATACTGTCTTCGTCCTTTGCTCTGGTTGCCGAGACCCAAGATATCAGGTTGATGGTATACCCACAAAGAGAAGATGCAGGTCTTCAGAGCAGCAGGGTGGAAATATATTTCTAAGTTCCCCATCCTTGCTAATGGATCCCAGCAGACTCGAACCAGGACATTTCAGCTAGTACTTTCCACATATTATCCATTATGCCATATTGCAAAAAGTACCCTTGGGCTACAGGGAAGGTGTGCATTTCGAGGAAGAACATGCATTTTTCTATATCACATCCTGTCAAATGTTAAGAATGACGCCTCTGATGGATGCTGGAGAAGCGTCTACGAATGCACCATGGCAAAAAGTGTCATTACAACTAGAGCTGAGATTGCTGGACTAGGTGTGCTTTTCATGGTCTCTCTGCTGCCATGGCCAAGTTTTCAATGTAAGGTGAATCCAAATCCTACCGCGGCAAGTAAATGTGACTAAATCGAAACCCTCACCATCACATGAATTAGCCTTTCCAGTGAAAGTATCCGCAGAATAAATCGACTATCACACTCGCTAATCATGCGTAGGACTTTTGTGGGCCTCTTTCAAATGTGTAGTTTACAGGGCCTCTGGATCCTATTGCGCCAGCAAATGCTCTTGGAGTCCTTTTCTTCCCGTTCACAAAGGTATGCTTAAGGGTCTAGATGGACGGCTGGACCAGCCGATGACGGAGGGTGCCGGATGATGGAACTACCAGTCGGACGACGGAAGTCCTGAAGGTAGTCTCTTCCGGGCCGGTATATCATTTGAGAAGCTCCTTCCGCATGGAAGGAGGGCAGCCTAAAATTTTAACCAAGCCGTCCATTAAACGTATTTGTCTTTAGACAAATACGAAAGCCGGCTTTTTCGACACAACTGTATTGTGAACTTTGACAAGTTGGCCTAGATCGTGAAGACGTCCGGCATCCCAGTTTCTCTATACTCCTGCTGCCTACACAGTTGAATGTTTTCTATATACCTTAGAATAGACGACTTGAGATTCACGCGTGGCTGCAAAAGTCTCATGACTATATGAGACTATGCCCAGTAGTCCTCGAAAAAATATGCGAGTTTGAGTCCGGTGGTGTGACTAAGAAAGTGAAGGCATGAAAGGTGAAACGAGACAGATGCCAACTTACGATGCATTGCTGGGCCCACG